GTGGTTCAGCTTCAACATTGTTGTACAATACAACACACTAATTTAAAAAACGTGTGTCGAGTTTTAACATTGTTGTACAATACAACACACTAATTTAAAAAAAACGTGTGTCGAGTTTCACTATTTGTTACAATACACACACTAATTTAAAAAACGTGTGTCGAGTTTCACTATTTGTTACAATACACACACTAATTTAAAAAACGTGTGTCGAGTTTCACTATTTGTTACAATACACACACTAATTTAAAAAACGTGTGTCGAGTTTCACTATTTGTTACAATACACACACTAATTTAAAAAACGTGTGTCGAGTTTCACTATTTGTTACAATACACACACTAATTTAAAAAACGTGTGTCGAGTTTCACTATTTGTTACAATACACACACTAATTTAAAAAACGTGTGTCGAGTTTCACTATTTGTTACAATACACACACTAATTTAAAAATCTTTTATCGAGTTTCATAATTGTTGTAGATTATCCACAATAATATAATTTAAACAGGTTTGTCCAATTTCAGTAGGCCTAACTAAAAATAATCAAGCACATTGATCGCTTTGTATTTATTTAATCATCTTTCAAAACTTTAAACCATAGTTATACCACCTAAATTTACAATTAGATCTACCGATTGTTAATAAAGCGAACAAATTATTTTGAAAGGAAAATACCAAGAAAAAACACGCACGGCACAAGTTCATTTTTAACGCAGATTTTAGTTCAAATGTCTTAACCTCTAACAGTATTAGCGTCTGTATGCCTACAATAGTCAAATAGAGAACATTGTTCTTTAAAGCGTACAGAACTAATTTATTGTCAGCCTGAACGGAGCAAATTTGTCAATTGTTCATCGAAACCTAATAGCGCGAGCCCATGTAAAAATAAATAAATAAAAGTCACTTGGACCAGCCATAGCCTGGGAGCATTGATTTTTTGTCGATATCCCAGCAACGTTTTCTTTTGTTTCAAATAAAAACAGACGTGGATGGTGCTCAGCACATCGATCTAGCCAGGTTTTTTTGTACAGCAGGCCGTAACGGGGCTTGTAGCTTTAAAAGCTGCCAAGTTGGACAACAACAGCGAAAAAAAAAGCTTCTAGTTTTATCGCAAGTACATCAATTAAACACAAATAATGGACGATTAGGTTATCGAGCATACGCTTGATTTCTCTCCCAATGCTAGGTATCATTTTAAATATGAACGGTACATCTTATTGATTCAATATTAACATAATAGTAAAACTGCTAATTATTATAATCAAAACAAATATTTGTACACAGCCTAAACAAATAAAAAAAAGTGGATCTTAAAGAGTCCTATCATCCCCACCATACCAACCTTTGCTCTACCCCCCCCCCCCCCCCTCCCCCAGATACATAACCTAATATTTGGCACCTTTTCAAGGAGTTAAATCTAAATAATTCCCTCGGGTGCGTGACATACATAAATAAATAAACACACACACACATACACACACACACACACACACACACACACACATATATATATATATATATATATATATATATATATATATATATATATATATATATATATATATATATATATATATATATATATATATATATATATATATATATATATATATATATATATATATATATATATATATATTCAGATACACCTAGATATACAAATACATGTAAGTATACATGATTATCATGCCATTATATATTTTCTTATTTATTTATATTTTTCCTGGAGGAGGTGGATAGATGAACCCCCTTCCCCTCTCCCCCTTCCCTCCCTTCCCCTAAAATTCCTATTGCAGAAACTGTCCCAAATAAAACGGACAAGGGAGCTGGTAGCAGAGCAGCAAACAAATCGTGTGAATAAATGCCAGCTATTTGCAAACAAGGTAACAGCGTTGAGAACGGCCTTACAGTGTGCTTAGATATGCATCAGGCAGTCAGCCATTCATTCAAACCCTTCCAACCGTTTCTCTTCTTGAACTAAAGCGGCGAGTTAGGGTTAGCCATGCAGGTCGCTGCGTGCTTGGCGTTTTCTGTTAAACCTTAACCCCCCCCCCCCCCCCAACTCCTCCCCCGCTCCACCAACAAGTACTACACATTTCGTTTTATTTACTAAACTTTAGAGCATACTAGATGTGAAAATAACACAGCTTTCGCTTATACAGGGGAGGACAACCCGTCCAAAATAGTTAAATAGGAAAAGGGAGCCAAATAGTTCCTAGAAAACCATAATACATAGAGTAAACACAGGAGGGAGGGGGGGGGGGGTGCGGAATGCTGAAAAGTCAACCCAAAACTTTCAAAAAGTAATATTATAATACATTTTTCAATTAGACCTTTCTAGATGTACTTAAAAATAGAATCAATCTAAAAATAAAACAGTGAGCAAGGAAAACGTTTAGTTACAGCACGCGTTGTTCACGTGGCCTGCTCGAGAGCTCCGTGCTTGATGACGTGTGACGACACGCACGGTGCAAACGTTGTATGCTTCATTGAATGTTGCTGCTCAACTTCCATTTCAGGCCCGGCGATTCTCATTCAGAATCGAATTTGCTGAGTTTTCTAAATATTGTCAATCTATTGTACAGCAGTTGTTAAATAACAATAACATATTCCATTTCACTCGTTTTTTTTACCCAACTAAATCAATTTAATCCTTAAGGAATCTGTCACACAAAGAGACACAACCATACAGACACCAAGACACAACCTGCCAGACACTAAGACACAACCTGACAGACACCAAGACACAACCTGACAGACACCAAGACACAACCTGCCAGACACCAAGACACAACCTGACAGACACCAAGACACAACCTGCCAGACACCAAGACACAACCTGACAGACACCAAGACACAACCTGACAGACACCAAGACACAACCTGCCAGACACCAAGACACAACCTGCCAGACACCAAGACACAACCTGACAGACACCAAGACACAACCTGCCAGACACCAAGACACAACCTGACAGACACCAAGACACAACCTGCCAGACACCAAGACACAACCTGCCAGACACCAAAGACACAACCTGCCAGACACCAAGACACAACCTGCCAGACACCAAGACACAACCTGACAGACACCAAGACACAACCTGCCAGACACCAAGACACAACCTGCCAGACACCAAGACACCACCTGCCAGACACCAAGACACAACCTGACAGACACCAAGACACAACCTGACAGACACCAAGACACAACCTGCCAGACACCAAGACACAACCTGCCAGACACCAAGACACAACCTGCCAGACACCAAGACACAACCTGCCAGACACCAAGACACAACCTGACAGACACAACCTGACAGACACCAAGACACAACCTGCCAGACACAAGACACAACCTGCCAGACACCAAGACACAACCTGACAGACACAACCTGACAGACACCAAGACACAACCTGCCAGACACCAAGACACAACCTGCCAGACACCAAGACACAACCTGCCAGACACCAAGACACAACCTGACAGACACCAAGACACAACCTGACAGACACCAAGACACAACCTGCCAGACACCAAGACACAACCTGCCAGACACCAAGACACAACCTGACAGACACCAAGACACAACCTGACAGACACCAAGACACAACCTGACAGACACCAAGACACAACCTGACAGACACCAAGACACAACCTGACAGACACCAAGACACAACCTGCCAGACACCAAGACACAACCTGCCAGACACCAAGACACAACCTGCCAGACACCAAGACACAACCTGACAGACACCAAGACACAACCTGACAGACACCAAGACACCACCTGCCAGACACAACCTGCCAGACACAACCTGCCAGACACCAAGACACAACCTGACAGACACCAAGACACAACCTGACAGACACCAAGACACAACCTGACAGACACCAAGACACAACCTGCCAGACACCAAGACACAACCTGCCAGACACCAAGACACAACCTGCCAGACACCAAGACACAACCTGACAGACACCAAGACACAACCTGACAGACACCAAGACACCACCTGCCAGACACAACCTGCCAGACACAACCTGCCAGACACCAAGACACAACCTGACAGACACCAAGACACAACCTGCCAGACACCAAGACACAACCTGACAGACACCAAGACACAACCTGCCAGACACCAAGACACAACCTGCCAGACACCAAGACACAACCTGCCAGACACCAAGACACAACCTGACAGACACCAAGACACAACCTGACAGACACCAAGACACAACCTGACAGACACCAAGACACAACCTGACAGACACCAAGACACAACCTGCCAGACACCAAGACACAACCTGACAGACACCAAGACACAACCTGCCAGACACCAAGACACAACCTGCCAGACACCAAGACACAACCTGCCAGACACCAAGACACAACCTGACAGACACAACCTGCCAGACACCAAGACACAACCTGACAGACACCAAGACACAACCTGCCAGACACCAAGACACAACCTGCTACACAGCACAGCACCCTCCTATCCTTATACAATCGATGGCAATTACGAAAAAAAAAAAGCCATCACATGAGTCACTTTTCTAACGGGTAACCAAGGTCACCGGTAGGGCCAGCCATTAAAACTGCCTTGTTTATGGTGGTATTTTAAGATCGAATTCGACTCCCCCTTCCGTCCTGTTCAACACGCGCACCTTGAAACAGCAGCAACTAATCCCGTAGGCGAGCAAGCGACAGCCTGGCAACACATCCCTACAGACACGCCTGATCGCTCATGTGTGGTGATCACGTTTAGATTAATTAACCGATCTACTTTGACACCCCAACGCACGATCGTCACCTTAACCATTAATCCGCGCCTCATTTTTCTTGACGTCTGATTAATAAGCTTACATATATAGGTTGTATCTCGCATTGTCAGAGCTATTGCACATAGCGTTTGAAATAAACCTCCCCCCCCCCAACCCCTACTGTGCATGTTACCAAGCAACGGAGTTGTTGGTGCCTCCATATAAATGAGTCAATGCTTGTGGGCTAATCATATCATCCAGTTCTAGCCGCACAGGTAAGACTATGTTTCATTTCCATTTTTATAGGTAGACAAAGTCAATTTAATGAACAAAATTAAATTTACAGTAATTAAAAACGTTGATTTTTGAAATATTAAAAGTAAAAACCAATGTAGGAAACAGAAGAAGAAAATTTACATTTTAATTTTTTTTTTTTACTCTAGTCAAGGGAAATAATCAATGAATAGACGTGTCTTAGTTATCGTTGTTTGGTGCGCCTTGTGGTTGGGTACCAAGTCTCCCCTATAAGTGTCTTGCTGGGTGCATCAATGGTAACTCGATAATCTACGAGTGTCGATATCTTACAGATAAAATATTAGTGGTGGAGGAGATAAGTTCAAATTTAGGAATGACAGAAGTTAATGGCAACGTTTGTTTAATTAGCATTTGTATTAATAGGCTTACACGCAGACATAAGTAATCTCATATTAAGACCTTCGAAATGACAGCATAGGTCACCGTAAAGTAATCTCATATTAAGACCTTCAAAAAGACAGCATAAGGTCACCATAAAGTAATCTCATATTAAGACTTTCTAAGGGACAGTATGTCACCGTAAAGTAATCTCATATTTTAAGACCTGCTAAAGGACACCATAAGGTCACCGTAAAGTAATCTTACATTAAGACCTTCTAAATGACAGCCTAAGGTCACCGTAAAGAAATCTCATATTAAGACCTTCTAAAGGACAGCATAAGGTCACCGTAAAGTAATCTTACATTAAGACCTTCTAAATGACAGCCTAAGGTCACCGTAAAGTAATCTCATATTAAGACCTTCTAAAGGACAGCCTACGGTCACCGTACAGTAATCTCATATTAAGACCTGCTAAAGGACAGCATAAGGTCACCGTAAAATAATCTCATATTAAGACCTTCTAAAGGACAGCATAAGGTCACTGTAAAGTATTCTCATATTAAGACCTTTTAAAGGACAGCATAGGTCACCGTAATGAAATTTCATATTAAGACCTTTTAAAGGACAGCCTATGGTCACCGTAAAGAAATCTCATATTAAGACTTTCTAAGGGACAGTATAAGTTCACCGTAAAGTAATCTCATATTAAGACCTTCTAAAGGACAGCATAAGGAAACCGTAAAGTAATCTCATATTCAGTAATTCTTTCAGACTTTTTTCTCTGGGAGGGGGGTGGGGGGACTTAATATTTTCAGGAAAGCCGACTAAATTTTTCGGAGCGGGGGTGGGGGGGGGGAGGCTAAGAATGGTAAAAGTATATATTTTCTATATAAATTCCATTTCGTTGTGGTGGGGGCGGGTGGGGGGGGATGGGGGGTTGGTGAGAGGCAGAGCCATCCAAATAGAGGCGTAGAAGAAACTGCTCATATTTAGTCCAGCTAAAGGACAGTATAAGGCTATTATTACGTACACTTATGTTAAGACCTTTTAAATTACAGTATTAGGTCATCTTAACGTACACTCATATCAAGACCTTCTTAAGGTCAGCTTAAGGTAATTCATAACGTAAACTCATATCAAGACCTTAAGGTCATTTTAAGGTAATCTTAACGTACTCTCTTATCAATACCTTCTTTAGGTCAGTTTAAGGTCATCATGATGTACACTTAAATCAAGACCTTCTAAAGGTCACTACTAGTTAATTGTAACATACACCCATATCAAAACTTTCTAAAAGACAGTTTAAGGTCATCGTAACCAGAGCTTCTTCCAGGCATCTCTTCGGGGGGGGGGGGGGGGGGGGGGGCTCTGCCCCTCCCACCCCCGGAAGAAAGTCGCATTTTGTATCGTCATTGCTCGACGTCAATGTATTTTTTTTTAAATAGCAAGTCTGCATAAGGAACCTATTACACTACTAGGCATGCTGCCCAGCTTCGCTTAGGCTTTCGAAAACATTGAGAATTTGCATGCTTAATTAATTCGCCCGAGGGTCGGTCTACGACCTCAAGAGTTATGAAGAGGTTCCTCCGTGGACATTTTTTTTCGATTTATAGCTCATATAAGGTACCGGTCAGTCGAGGTCAGTTTTGACCCCCTCATCGTAGACTTTTCGGCCAACCGGCCCCCGTGTTCTGTCGCCCCAAGGCAAGATCCTGCCAAATTTGAAGCGCCTGCGGCGCCGGGAAGTGCCCTATCGGACACCCGACAATCTAGATCTAGATTCCTAAAAGAATTTTTTTTTTAAGTTTAGCCCGAGCATAATAAAAAAAAAATACCTTAACCAAGTTGACTTGGTGTGTCTCGAACCCGCACCACCTGCGTGGTTTATAGTACACTAACCTATTTAGGCACCTTATAAAATACGGAGAATGAAACACGTATTTTAAAATCTTAACTTACGCGAATATGCCTATTCTTTCAAATTAAATTTTTTATCCCAAATTAGCCAGTTCCAAACAAAGATTTTGTATAAAATAAATAAGTCTTGAAATAGTTTAGTCCTAATATAGAAATTTATTTTTGGAATTGATTTTAGAGAAGTTAGAGTCTAAATCTAGATCTTAGCGTCTACGTCTAGATCTAGTTATTGCGTAGATTTAGAATTAGATTTAGTCTAGATCTAGAATCTCTAGATCTAGAATCCAAATAAATAAAATAAATTTTATGAGTTTAGGCCGGAAAAATTGTATTGTATACATTTTATAGTGTACGTAGATCTAAATCAAATTTGAATGAAATAGTTCATTTCTTTTTATTCAAAACACGGCAGATGACGTCATTAGTTAATGTATAAGCAATAGTGACGTCACAGTTTTATGCGTTCTTTTTCACATTTATTAATGCTTTTCCGGTTGCATAAATAATACTGTTTCTCTACATTCGAATACGCCTTTAATTTTTATTTTTCTTCTTTAAATAAAATTGTGGTTATACATTTAAAACATCTAACATATTATTTTCAACAAAAGTCCGTATAAAGTTCTCCATATATCGCTGCCGTTTCTGACGTGATGTCCGGCGAAAATTTTTTGCGGACAGACAGAGAGAGAGAGAGAGAGAAGAGCGCACATGGCGTTTTATATATTAGGATAGCAGGGGTTTCCAAACTTTTCAGTCCGAGGGCCGCATTAACTATCAAATTTCAGTTCGGGGCCAGGTTCTTCCAGACATGTCTTTAATTTTTCTGGGCAAAGTTCCTCAGCCATCAGCAACAAACGTTTTTTATGGGCAAAAATATATCCGCGTGCCGGATGAGAGGACATCGCGGGCCGTATCCGGCCCGCGGGCCGTAGTTTGGAGACCCCTGCACTAGAGAATACGGTAAATTCCTAATAGCAAGTCTACATAAGGTACCTGTTACACTAGAGAATATGGTAAAACCTTAACTTTGTTATTTTCGGCTATCGCCGGTTTCTGGATTCCGACGATTGTTTTTTGGGCGATTATTGTCGGAAACTGATAGTATTCTTACGATACGTGGCAAGGACAAACCATATAAAACTAAGAGCACTGCCGCGTCAGGCAAGCTAGACAGAGGCGTAGCGAGGGGGGGGGGGCAGGGGGTGCGGACAGCACCGGTGACACCATTTGGGGGGTGACACCATTTGGGGGGGGTGACACCAAGGCAAAAAATGGCAAAATATATAGAGAAAAACTTGAGGGGGGGGGGGTACAAATCAAAAACCTGAGGGGGGGGGGGGGTTGCAAATCGAAAATTTGAAAGCTTGTCCCCGGGAAGGGTCGCTACGCCTCTGGGGGGTGACACCATTAAGTGCCGCACCGGGTGACACCCGACCTCGCTACGCCACTGAAGCTAGACACTATACAAAACAAACACATTAACCACTCGTCTGTTTGTGTGCACGACATGTAATGCGCCATCTCTTGTAGGTGCTGACCTACCTCGGCACTACAGAAACATGGGGCGGCTTTGGAGTTGGAGAACGTGCGCCTTCGTCTTGGCTGCACTTTTAGGTAACGTCATTTCTAAAAAAATCTCTTTATTATTGTCATTAATTAATTAATCTCTTTATTATTCTGATTAATAAATTAATGTCTTTATTAGTGTCATTAAAACATGTATGTCTTTATTAATGTAATTATTAAATTAGTGTCTTTATTAATATTATTTATTTACATATTGAACTTATTGTATCACATAGTTTGTCTGACTGAAATTTTAAAACTTATTTATTTCAGGTGCCAACATCGTTACATCAGAAGACAATACCACCTACACACCAACGGGAGATAACTCCACGATTGAGTACGACACCACCTACACAACAACGGGAGATAACTACACGATTGAGAACAACACGACCTATGGTAAGGCGTTACATTTATTACCTCCCCTAAGTTAAAATACTTACTGTACTTATGCTCTATCTAAGGGCACAATCTTCAAGCATAGAGTGGACTTCTTTTTCGTTACATTGAAATCCTTTCATGTCAACAATTAACATTTAGAAAACCCATTTAGTAGTGGTATCAGTTTTGATAAAGTACTGGGCTTAAAAACTCATAACTGACAGACTACGACAAAATGTTAGCTGAATTGAAGGAATAGCAGGCAGAATACGACAAAAATGTTAACTTAATTGAAGGAATAGCTGACAGACTACGACAAAAATGTTAACTTAATTGAAGGAATAGCTGGCAGACTACGACAAAAATGTTAACTTAATTGAAGGAATAGCTGGCAGACTACGACAAAAATGTTAACTTAATTGAAGGAATAGCTGGCAGATGACGACAGAAATCTAAAAAGAAAAATCTGTTTATTTATGTATGAAAACTGAAATAATCTGTCCTGTTAATCTGTTCTTTAAATAAAGGCACGGTTTATTCGTGTTTTATTAGTATGTCAAATTTATATGCGAAATACAACATTAATCCTAATTTAAAATGTATTGATCAACAGAGAATTCTACAGAATCCACCACAGTAATAAATGATAATGGTAAGATTTTTTTCATCCTATCCTAACCTTGTTAGGCTGCTGCCTCCTCCTACCCCCCCCCCCCCCCTACCCCCCATCACTTTAGTAAATCGTGTTGTAAAATTTAACAGCCTTCCCCTTCAATGTACAGTTCTATGTCGTATACTAGGAGAGTAGATTTAGAAATAGGAGAGATTTATGGAAGATAATATTCATAGGAGAGATTTGTGGGAGAGAACATTCATATAGGAGAAGATTTAGGGAGGAGCAGATTTATGGGAGGGGGGGGATTTATGGGGGAAGAGATTTTTGGGAGAAAAGAGTAGATTTATCTAAGAGTAAAACACATTTATGTGATATGAGAGTAAAGCTATGTGATATGAGAGTAAAGCTATTTGATATAAGAGTAAAGCTATGTGATATGAGAGTAAAGCTATGTGATATGAGAGTAAAGCTATGTGATATGAGAGTAAAGCTATGTGATATGAGAGTAAAGCTATGTGATATGAGAGTAAAGCTATGTGATATGAGAGTAAAGCTATGTGATATGAGAGTAAAGCTATGTGATATGAGAGTAAAGCTATGTGATATGAGAGTAAAGCTATGTGATATGAGAGTAAAGCTATGTGATATGAGAGTAAAGCTATGTGATATGAGAGTAAAGCTATGTGATATGAGAGTAAAGCTATGTGATATGAGAGTAAAGCTATGTGATATGAGAGTAAAGCTATGTGATATGAGAGTAAAGCTATGTGATATGAGAGTAAAGCTATGTGATATGAGAGTAAAGCTATGTGATATAAGAGTAAAGCTATGTGATATGAGAGTAAAGCTATGTGATATGAGAGTAAAGCTATGTGATATGAGAGTAAAGCTATGTGATATAAGAGTAAAGCTATGTGATATAAGAGTAAAGCTATGTGATATGAGAGTAAAGCTATGTGATATGAGAGTAAAGTTATGTGATATGAGAGTAAAGCTATGTGATATGAGAGTAAAGCTATGTGATATGAGAGTAAAGCTATGTGATATGAGAGTAAAGCTATGTGATATGAGAGTAAAGCTATGTGATATGAGAGTAAAGCTATGTGATATGAGAGTAAAGCTATGTGATATGAGAGTAAAGCTATGTGATATGAGAGTAAAGCTATGTGATATGAGAGTAAAGCTATGTGATATGAGAGTAAAGCTATGTGATAGACGAGTACGTCTCAGTGAGTGGAGAATACATGTGCTGATGTCTAGCAAAAAACAAACATTCGGCACCTTTGTGCAATGATCCGTTAGGTAGCCATTGACACTATAATTATTTAATTTTTGATTCTATATCTTTCTACATTAGTCTATGTAATTCTTGAGCTGAAGTACAAGATGTATGGTTTATTGCAAGAATTTCTTATTTACCATTCAACACGAAAAACAATTATCAACGATAAGCCGATGGATCACATTAAATAAAGGGATAGTGTGATCAGCACTATGCCCAGCTGTCTTAGTTTTCCTTAACGTGAGTTAGGTACTCATCTGAGTGGACTGATTTGAACCCGGGGTCATATTCGACACGTTTGGGTTAGCAGTCTAGCGCTCTAGCCGTCCCGCTTCATACATACACACATCTACATACAGACAAGATTGCCAATTGGTATTTGGACTCAGTAAGTAATAAACCGTACAGATTGTTAGAATTTCGAAACAAAATTGTACAATTATAATACTTCTATACAAGAAATTTTTTAAAATCTATTTTTATCGGCCATTTTAAACAAAAAAGGTTGTGCACTTGTATCACTAGTTTAAAATTAAAAACATCTTGAAGGGAGGGGAGGCGCTTAGAATTTCAGGGGCGGACATGAGTTAAAGTATATATTTTCTAAACGACTTACTGGACTCAACCATACCCTTCCATTTTGACCGTTCCCCGGCTTTTTATTTTGCCGTCTCCCAAGACATCCCTGCTGTCTATAGTTCTTCAAGAAGACTCCGCCTCCAGGTTCGTCTTTGGAACCCTCTCTTTTCCCTGGGGTTCCACTCCAGCGCCTGTCGTGTTACATTGTAATGAGCCTGTGGGCAGCGTGTGACCCACCCAGCGCCACTTTCTCCTTCTTATTCGCACTGTCATAGGCTCCTGCCTTGTCGTTCTCCGTAAGTCAGAGACGTAGCGACCCTTCCCGGCGTCCGGGGACAAACTTTTCGATTTGCACCCCCCCCCCCCCCACAAGATTTCGATTTGCATGCCCCCTCAAACTTTAGATTTGCACCCCCCCCCTCAAACTTTCGATTTGCACCCTCCTCAACATTTCAATTTATTTTTCCAACCCATTTTGGCGCCTCCTAAGGTCGGCGCCCGGGGACATATGTTCCCCCCTCCCCGCCCCCCCCCCCCCCTAGCTACTGCCGTAAGTCAATATTTGGCACTTTGTCCTGCCAGCTCAATTTCAAAATCTGTCTAAGGCATCTATTCATGAAGGTCTTTATCTTTGCTGTGCTTGCCTTGGAGACTCTCCATGTCTCTGCTCCATATAACAAACATGCCTTGACATTTGAATTTAGTATCCTGATTTTTGTTGTGTTTGACATGTCAGAATGTTTCCATATGGGTCGCAGAACTGTGAAAGCGCAGCGGGCTCTATTAATTCTAACACGTATGTCGTCATCTGTGCCTCCCGATTTGCTGATCTTGCTGCCAAGGTAGACAAACTTTCACATCATTGTCATGTCTTCCGTCTATTGTCACTGGGGCCTCCTGGTTATTGATGATTCTCATCACTTTTGTCTTTTCTTGTAAGCCCCTGACAGGGGGATAACTATACTATGTCCCTAGGCTTAACTAATTAAACTGTCCGGTCAGTGCAACCGTGGTAAAAACCACGGTGGTTAAACCTTAACCGTAGTCTTATATTAATAAAATCAAAAAAGCTTAACAATTGATAAACATTATTACAAGAAAATAGGAACCAATATTTAATGAAGGATACAAAACAAAACTAGAGTAAACAATGTCCAAACTAACAAAATACCCATATCGGACAACAATCCAGACTTTGTAGGAATAAAACAACAAGGTAAAATAAATGGATGGGGCAGTGCTGACTCTTTATTCCTCGGATAGTCTAGGCCCTGAACACACAGACACCCTCTTCATCCCCTGGACATAATAAAAAGTGACTCGAAACATCTGCCCGGGACTGACTTTCACACACCGCGCACACTACACGTACAAATAGTCCCTAATTCACTGACATTACACACCGCGCACCCTACACGTAAATAAATAGTCCCTAATTCACTGACATCACACACCGCGCACACTACACGTAAACAAATAGTCCCTAATTCACTGACATCACACATCGCGCACACTACACGTAAACAAATAGTCCCTAATTCACTGACATCACACACCGCGCACACTACACGTACAAATAGTCCCTAATTCACTGACATCACACACCGCGCACACTACACGTAAACAAATAGACCCTAATTCACTGACATTACACACCGCGCACACTACACGTAAACAAATAGTCCCTAATTCACTGACATCACACACCGCGCACACTACACGTAAACAAATAGTCCCTAATTCACTGACATCACACACCGCGCACACTACACGTAAACAAATAGTCCCTAATTCACTGACATCACACACCGCGCACACTACACGTAAACAAATAGTCCCTAATTCACTTACAACAAACAACACGCCACGAAACAAGACAGAATTATACAAAAAGACACTTAATATAAACATTGACGACAATATAAACAAAATATATACAAACTAGCAGTAGTCAGAGATGTAAACAGTTAAACAGCGGCACCATAATACGGGACTACATAACCAAAAAGCACGAACAATTTACATCATGAAACGAAACGATACATTCGCCTTGATAGCTACAGATCATAATTATAATAACAACACACTCCAGCCGCTCACATTTGTGGATCGTGAGACCTACGCGCTGAGAGATGGCTCCTAATGCCTTGTAGACGGTGTAGGGCAAGGTAATCTGCAAACTCTAGGGTGTCCACAGTATACCTTTTCCAGAACTGGCATAGGCTTGCGTGTCACCCAATCGACAGCCACCAAGAAGAGAAGGGACATCCTTGACTAACACATATGGTGACCTGGAAACCTTCTGACAGTTTCCTTTCATGGCCAACTTGGAATGGAAGTTGCTGCATTATTTCCACTAGCTTAGCGGGCACGCCATACTGTCTCAGCAGATTCCATATTGTTTGCCTATCCACACTATCAAATGTCAACAAAGCAGATGTAAAGCGGGGCTTGCCATTTTATTGTCTGTTCTACGATTTCAAGAGTGGCTATCTTATCTGTACAATATATTTCTTCCCTAAACCCCGCTTGTTCCTCACTTAGCTTAAGGCTAGTTGCCTTCTTCACTCTGTACAAAGTGACTCTGGTAAGGACTTTACTTGGGATGGACAAAGTTATACCCTTCTATTTTCAACACTGAGATAAGTCACTGCTCTATGGCAACTTCACAAGGAGGCCCCTTTTCCAATCGGTTGGGATCTGTCCTGTGTTCCAGACTAAGCTTAGTAATTTATGTCGATTTACTACTTCTCCACCTTGTTTTAATTCCTCTGCTGGGACATTAGCTGGTGCTGATACATTGCCGCTCTTCAAACTATTTAAGTTAATGTAAGCCCTGCTAGGGGGGATACCTAAAATCTACCATTTTAGGCTTAACTAACTAACTACTGTCCGGTCAGTGCAAGCCCGGATAAACCCAGACTGGTTAATAACCTAACCTTAGTCTAAATGATAAAAACACTACTAAAAATAAAACAAAAACTTTAGGCCTAACAATATTATATTATAATATAATAAAATTTATTTAACAAAAATATGGAACCAAAACTTACATAACAAAACTAGAATCTAGATCTAGACAAAACAAAACACTCAAGACATACAAAACAAACAGGACTCAACGAAACAAAACACCCAATTTCGGACCACCGTCCATACACCACATAGATCTAAA